TATCCTTACTGCAGTTCAGCCCTGGAATCATAGAATGTTAAGGGATTGGAATGGACCTTAAAGACCATGGGAAGGGACACCCCCCACTAGACCAGGCTGCTGAAAGCCTTATCCAGCCTGCCCTTGATTGTTTCCAGGATTGCAGCATCCAGAACCTCCCTGTTCCAGTGTTGTTCTGCAGGCTGAACAGCTCCAACTTTCTTACCATGTCTTTGTAGCAGAGGTTTTCCTGTCCTCTTACCAGCTTTGTGGCTCTCCTCTGGACTTGCTCAAGCAGTTCCCTTCTTATGCTGGGAACATGGGAACTTTAAATAGTACTCCAGTAATAGTGCAAAGATGTAATAAAAATAAATAATCCCCTTATTTACTATAATAAATAAGATCAATGAAAATATTACCAGTGTTTGTTAGCATAAGAAAATAGATGAACCACTTCAGTTCAGTCGAAATTTATTGAAAGTTAAGGAAGGATATTCTTGTCTTTAGATTTAAAATGTTTTCTCCCTCTCCTTTGATATAGTAACAGAAAGCAACCAAGTAATAAATAAAGTCATAACACAAGTCCCTTTGCATTATCAGTTTAAAGAAAGCCAACTTTTCATGTCTACTCTCACAGAACTGACTGCCCTGTCCAGTCCTGTATCAACCTTCCCTGCACTTTCTTTTACATATCCTTTTGAACAGATAAGGCTGCACCATAATTAATCCCAGTAATGATGGAACTCCAACAATTAGGCATGAGGAAATACAAGGCAATCCTTCAGAATACAAAAACTATATTTGCATTTCTCAAACGTGAGTGTGAATTTCACAGTTCTTCTCCTACTTTGATTTTGCAATGGCATTAGTAACCTGCATGGAAAATGACGACAATTTGAGTGGTTAACTTCAATTTAAAATATTTGAGTTTCTGTACTAGAAATGTTTTGTCAAAGGCATATTGAAATTGTTAGCTGAAAAACGTTTGGTCCAGTCTGAAATTTTCAGCTATGTAAAGGAAAACAAGAAAATTCCATCTATTTGGACAAAGTAATTGATTACCCAATATGCGACCACAGTACTTTAAAAAGTGAATAAATTTAAAATGGAAAGATGTTATTACCACAAATAAGGCCATCCTGTCTAATTATACCAATCAAGGCAGCAATAAAAAGCATGTCAAATTGCATGTTTTTCAGACACTAAGACAGTTATTTTGGAAAATCTCAGAAGTAAAAATTAAAATTATCAATGTTTTCTTCTATAGCAGTGAAAATGAGCTTTCATTACAAGTGTCATAGTTAACTCACGAAGAAAAAATTTTCTACAAGAACAATATTTGTTATAGTGTCTGTTTACTCTTAACAGTGTTCTTCCAAATCTGTAAGAACTTTCTCATATTAAAATTTTACAGTGAGTTATAACAAGTGAAAGAAGAATCCTTTGACTACATCATACAAAAGACAAGTCTAGATTTCACTTAGCAGTATATATTAGGCAAAATTATTATATTTGGAATAGCAACAGAGAGAGTTCTGTAATTTATGCATGAAATTCTGAGGACTTGGTTCAAATAACAGCATACAAAACTTATGAGAACAGGTGATATTCAATGTTCAAATGAGGGGCATATTTTGGAATCTCTCAGATCTGGAAGGATTTCACATGAAGTGCATATGAAAAATGCTTTAAAGAAATAGTGAGAATTAAGAAATTAATATCTTGAAGATTTGTGGAAAAATCTCAAAAAAGCTACAGTCTGTATGTTGTGGTGATACAGCTCTATCTGTATAAGTATAATGAGGTAGAAATCAAAATATCCTGTAAGTGTTTCAGATTTTACTGTGTGCTGGAAATTACTAATCAAAATGTTAATACCAAGGTCCATAGTGGCCTGAGCCTTGGCATGGACAGCAAAGAGCAATTACTTGATCTCCAATTTTTATTTTATTGAGCCTTATGAAGCAGGTGAACAGTATGCTGACCCTCTAAGAAGGTTCACCTTGTGCTAAGGTTTTGAAGCATGGTGAAACAAGTGCAGACCCACATCTCACTCTCGTTCTGTAGAACCAGGGTACAGCAGCTGTTCAGACAATGGCAGCCTTGAGGTTACAGATGAGGCTGTGGAAGTCACCACAACTGAAATAATGATTTCTCCCTCCCCTCAAGGGACTGTTCTGTCACAGTTATTTGAATTAGGAGTCAGGCAAATACCACATGAGAACACTGAGCCTCTTGTAGGATAACAAATCAATTCAGGCAGTTTGATTCGGGTGTCCGTGTTTGCATCAAACAACCCTACTTGTTTAAAGTAGTTAGGCCTTGTGCTCATAATGTGTAATTATCAACTGAGATGATGAATACTTGTCCTTCATAAAATAGCAGTCAAATAGCAGCCTCTTTCCTTTGATAGATTAGGATATGTTTTTTAAGTGAAACATGAGTGCCAATGGCAGTGTTTTTAAGGGAGATAACAATGAAAAATATCTCCAATTTCTTCAGTGAGAAGTTTAACCAGGACTTTTTTCATCTTAAAAGCTGGAAACAATTTAAACCAATAAACTTTACTCATACTGACATACAGAATAACTTGACATAATTTTGAAAGGATTACATCATTTGTCATTCTCCATTATCCTTTTTCATTTGGCCTTCATGCTATGCCTTTTTCACATGTTCTGTCAGTGAGAAGACCTTTACTCTAAAAATGATCCTGTCCATAAAGTCTTGATATTCTGCTAAGAAAAGTAAAGTAATTGACATGCATCACGTTATATAATTTAAAATATAAAGCTTGGGTTGGGCAGAAATACAAAGTCCTGAGAGCTGCAGCATTCCCACCCCAGTGCCCCAGGTTTAGAGCTGTGTCCTTCAGTGCAAGGATCGGAAAGTGCTGGGAAAGGCAGTGGAGCCCTCATTGCTCCCACGTCCTTCTTCCTCCTGTCCTTTTGATTTTATACAGCAATCTGGAATGGACTCTGTTACGACATGATATTTGGGATGTCATGCAAAGAAATAAGGATATTTCAGGGGGTTTATTCCCTCTTGTTAGAAGACACCAAAAATATAGTTCTGTGAGCACTGAGGCACAAGCTTCTCTAAGAATTTTGTCTTACTTTGGAAACACACAGAAAATACATCTGTACATCTGTAAAGTACAAATCCCTGGCTCTGGTTTTACCACATCATGGTACTAATTATGAAAAATACCAACAGGTTCTCATAAGAACTTTTTATGACTTTTGAGGCTGTCCCTACCCATGATGAAAATGTCTTTCAGTCCTTTCCTGAAAGGGGTTGGGGTGTGTTTGTGTGTGTGTTTTTAACAAATTAATTAACAGTTTATTTCTTTAAATAAAGCAGTTGATTAACAATTCCAATGCATTTTATGTTGCATGCTTCCATTTGGTCAGCCTTTTTCCTCTGCTGGAAAGAGTAATCTGAATTAATTTCATTTTGCAGGTGTAGTTTTCTACTTACCTTCTTTGTGCTAAAAATTGTTAAAGTTATGTTAACATAAAATTCTTTACTGGGGCTTTCTCTATATAATTTGCAAATATTGGCAAGTATTGGCAATACTTGGTAAGCACGTTTTTAGCATATTTGGCTACCCTTACTTACTCAGTCAAGCTGAGTAATTAAATTGACCAGAACAGCGGGATACTGAAGATATGAAAAACAGTTTCTCATGAATAAATGTTGCATATTGAGGTTCCTGTTGTGCTTTATTATGTCTGTTGGCATGATTCTTCCCACTACATGGCTGCATGGTCCAAGTTTCCTAAGAGAAATATCAATAAAATGCTGCATTTTTAACCAACAATTTCTACACCAACAGGGTTTTAACTAGTTAGTCTAACCTATAAAAACTAGTATCCATAGTTTTTGGCTAAATTTTATTCCTCAATCCTGTACACTTTATTTCCCATTCTGTCTAAAAAAGCTTTCTTGTTAAAATTAATTTTTATAATCTTTTTTAACCATAAAAAAGTGATTTATTTTTACTTCTGTTATATTTAGAATTGTCATGTAAGGGCTGCCATCCAGTTGCCATTTTCTCCCTGCAGCTAACCTATCTTTTTCTCTATTTTATTTTGATCTTTTTCATTAATGCAGTTCAAATAATGAGGAAAATCTTATTATGACCAATAAAAGTATAGTTCCTATGTCCTTATGTTCAGTCTCAGTTCTAAATGAAATGTAATGAGAAGCTCTTCTTCACCTTTATTTAAAACCAAGTATTTTCAGAGTGGTAAAGTTGTAAGAAAGTAGAGCCATAAATATATTTCTGACAGAATGTGTGTGCAAAATGACTTCCAGAAGTTTGAAGCACTCACTCATCTTTTCTATAGAAGTCCTCTTGATTAAGACAGGACTTTCTGAAGAAATTCAGGTGACTACACCAGTAGCTAATCTAATTTATTATAAAGATTTATAAGGTCTCTACTCTATTTGAAGAGAGGAGGAACATGTGCCCTCCTCAGACTGCTGTGTGAGCTGGCAAGCTACTGCTCACACAATGTTCCATAGGGAACTGAGGCACAGAAAGCCTATGTGATGGGTCTAAAACAAGGATTAGAGAGAGAGGAAAAAAAAATAGTTTAACTTCCTTTACAGGGGGGCAGATTCTCACTGACAGAGAGAGAGGGAGTTGTGAATACTCCTGCCAGGTTTTGAGCAGAAAAAGGTAACACCATAAAACTCTTTTTATGCTTCTTATTTCAAATTCAAGACAAATTTGTGATAGAGTAGGTAGATAGATAAGGTAGAGTTATATGGAATTATATGAACTGTACATGGAGGTTGGATTTCCTTATCTTAGGATTTTTTTCGATTGCCCTGAAATGCATCTTTATTCTTATCCATTGTGTCCCCACTAACATAAATAGGTATCATTCTGGCATTCAGCTAAGTAATTCTTTTGTCATCCACAGATGGACAGGGGATTACATGGCTAAGAAATGAAATAAAAGCTAAATCCCTATGCTTGTTAAAGCTTTGCTTGATTTCTCTTTTTTCAGGATTACCGAGTGAACATCTTTCTCCGTCAGAATTGGAATGATCCACGCCTCGCATACAGTGAATATCCAGATGACTCTTTAGATTTAGATCCATCCATGCTGGATTCCATTTGGAAACCTGATTTGTTCTTTGCTAATGAAAAAGGTGCCAACTTTCATGAAGTTACAACAGATAATAAGTTGTTACGGATTTTCAAGAATGGAAATGTACTTTATTCCATCAGGTGAGTCTCTCATTTAATGGGTTTTTTTTTCAGATAGAAGCTCAAAAGTATAATTAGGATTTTCTAAAACATATATTCAGTTGCTAGTCATGCAGAACTATTATTAGTGAGTTTTGAATGCAGAATTTTGTCAGCATTCACTGTTTATATTAAAATAGAAAATTATCACTCATGCACATAGCAAAAGTAACAAGAAAAATTTCTTTCCCATTTTAAAGTACAGGTACTGAGCCTAGAGGAACTAGGACACTGCACAGAACAAACAGTCCTGTAGTATTATAATCTGAGTTGGCCTATGTATGAGTTTCACAGTCTGTGGCCTCCAATGACAATCCAATTTTACTTCTTTCCCCCCCTTCTGGATACTGTATTTGCCCTTCAACGTGAAATACATGGCCTGTTTGAGGAAGTATGACATTTAAAGAACAGTCATTTACTCATCTCTGAAGACGGAGAGAAAGCTGGAAAGTAATTTTTTGAAAAGGTTTTAAGAAGCTGAAAGCACTAATCATAAGTATTGACAAAATCTAATTATCCCACTTTTATTCCCTCCACTTTCATTTTAATACAGACATCAGTAGGCATTTTACTGTTGTCATCAAAATCCCAATCTAATGAGAAACACATTAGATGTAAGTATGCTAATGCCCCACTAGATTTGGTATTGAAGCAGTGACTCACTTGTGCAAAATGTTACTCTTTTCAAAATAAATATACTATTGTTCATTCAGTGTTTTGCTTTGCATGCTTTTATGACACTGAATTAATGTGTAATTAGACTCTTTGAAGAGACATCGGGAATCTGTAAACACTTTGTATTCTGGAGAAAAAGAAAACTTTATGAATTGCATGAATTGTGTCAATGGCAGGGATCTCCTTCCTCCTTCCCTCCTTCCAGTGCCATTAGGCAGCACTTCTCAAAGCTTACACAAGGAGAAAAGGTTGGGTTAAAATTCTTATGAGGATTTCATATCCAAAAGGTTAGTCTGCCATTCTGGGAACATAATCAATCCTCAGTGTCACAATGTGTATTCTGTCACAAGAAACAGATTCAAAGTAGATTGAAAGGATTCCTTCACTGGATTCAAGCAGAAATAGATCTAAATCAATTATCTGCAGACTGTCTGAGTCACCCCAAGAGGCACTGGCCGTTGTTCCACTCTAATCAAATAACTCCCTATCTTGCCCTGTTCTTTCCGAATACACACAGCACACAGTATAAACCCCGCCACTCAGCTGAAACAAGTTTGGATTGCAACTTCAATACAATTCAGAGCAACTTCATGGCCACATGAAATGGGGTGGAAAACCATTTTTGGGAATGTGGGAATAGTATCATATTAAATTATAAAGGAAACCATCAACTGTGCTGAAAGCAGACACCAGATAGTTCCTCTGTTTCTTATGAAGCCAGAAATTTCATGTTGCCTTGATTTAATTAAGACCTATAACAGTTTCTAAAACATTTAAAATCATATCCTTGGCATCTAGTTTAGTTATGTGCATTTGAGTGAGTTAAGCTTCTGATAAGGGGAGATATGCTAATCTCTATTGTGCTGATATTAAAAGGGAAAAAAAAAAAGAAGTTTCTAAACTTGCTTCTTTCTTTCATTCCCTAATTTCTCCTCATCTCTAATTGCATTGGGACAATACAGACAAAAAAATAATGGAAGGTAACAGTTCCCAGATCAATGAATACTTAATATAAAATGCTAAAATATTTACTGAAGCACAAATTAAAGTCCAGGTGCCTCTGAAATGACTTGCCGTGTTACCTACTAGCCAGAATTTGCCTTTGGAACTATTTTTAACAGCATGGGAATAGGGGATGGGTCTGACTTCCTTCTTCAGACTCTCCCCATGCAGCTCAATCACTGTTTGGCTAAACAGAAATTATAGCAACAATGAATCAAGAAGGTTTGGTCACCAACAAAAAATTAGGTAAAAGAAATATACAGCCATACTTGCCAGCTACTGCCCACTTCCATTTAGCCCCAGTGCCAAAAACATCAATGGATACATAGGCATAGCCAGAGAGGGAAAACTTGTGCCTTTATCTCTTATAAATTCTTCTTTCTGATTCCTCAGAGAACTTTTACTCAAAAGATAAATTATTGTAAAAAATTTATAAATTATTACAATAAATAATAAAAATATTTAACTTAAATAAATTTATACATTTATTATAAATATTATAAAAAATAATAAAACAAATTTTTAACCTAAAATTTAAAAATACCTCTTTGCCTATAATATGCAAAGAATTTCACAGGAAGTATTAGGACTAACATTGATGCACAGCTACAGTTCAAAATTGCAGCCATATTTTTGTTCACCATCAATATCATCAAATGTTTCTTTAAGCCTTTGTGTTGACATTTTAAGAACTTTACTTTAGGACAGCAACACATAAAACTACTTTTCCACCATGACTGCTGGCATATGTTATGAAATTCTTGCAAATTTGGGTAAGTTTTATGCCAAGGGTTTGAAATACTGGAACTGTGCAATAATTCTGCTGTAGCACAAAAAGGCACACTGCTGCTGCATTCCTTTAGACTTCTCATTAAGTTAGGCAACCCTACTGAAAAATTTAGTTTTCTGGAAGTCTGTAAATTTATTTTCCATGCTGTCATACTAGGCTGAGTTAGATGGATTCACCTAATAGAGACCTTTTTTGAAAACTTTCTACTGAAACATGTATTCTATTTCTAATTTCTTCCGTTGTATTCATGCACTCTTCCCGCACAGTTCTATGGCTTTTTTGGGGGGTATATTTTTAATGGTTTTTTTGTGTCCTTTCAGATTGACTTTAATACTTTCCTGTCCGATGGATCTCAAAAATTTTCCAATGGATGTGCAAACATGTATAATGCAGCTGGAAAGCTGTAAGTTTGCGTAATGTATTATCCTATACATACTTTTGCAGAGATTACAACAGCTATACAGGAGGTAGGAAAACCCCTTGTAGTGGTACAAGAACAAATTTTCAAAATGAATCTTCTATTTTATCAATAGAATATGTGAAGTACACATGACTTTGAGGAAGAGGTTCTGTCATACCTATTTGAACTAAAAATAGAGAGTTTTGTGTAAATCTGAAGTTACCATTAAACTCAGTGACAGTTTATGCAAAAATTTCTGCACATAGGGTTTCACCATAAGTCTTTATGTGTTCACACCTGCAGGAGGTAAATAATAAGGGGAGCATAAAGGAAACATAAGAATAACTTAAAGAAGTGATGGATGGGGCTTTATGTGAAATTAAATTATTATATTCTAACATATATTTTACTTATCGTCTACCTTGATATCTTGTTACTTAAAAGAGGATGAAAAGTGTAAAGCAGCTATGCCATTTCAAGGCACAAACACACTCACAAAAGGAGAAATCAACTATTCTGTCTGATGCATTATATTCTCATTTTTCTTGTGATATGAAGTATTTGGGAATTGCTGCTTTCCCTTAAATTGAGAAGACTTTGAAAGAGAGCTGTAGCAGAAAAACCTTCCTAATGATGCAAAGAACAAAACAAAATAAAGTAAAGCATTCTTTGAAAGCTTCCAGCAATCTGAAATTAGTGAAAATAAATGACAGGAGTAAGAAAAATTAAGAAGTATTCATCTAAAATATCTAGATTTACAGTTTTAGGGCCAATAAGTAAAATATTTCAAAAATAAAAGAATTATGCTTATAGAATGAACATAGTGGATTATTTTAAATATATCATAGATCAGAAACACAACAAACATAATTGTATTAACATTTTTTGAATTTTTTTTCTTTTACTGGAACAAAGCAGCACCTAGGGAAAGCGGAGGTAATTATCTATCAGTCAGTATGTCAGAACTGTTTGTTGTATGGTGTGTTATTTATAGATTATTGCAGGGTGAGTACAAAAGCCAGGTCTATCGTTTACTACAATGGACAGATGGTAACATTATGAAGCAGCCTTTCAATATGAGGGCAACAGCTGAATCTGACAGCAGAAATTTTCTTGACTAAAATGGAGAGATAATTATTTGCTGCAAATGTCAAGGAATTTAGGACAATATTATATATCCAGGATTTGAGCAAAACTCCAGAGCCAACCTGAGCAGACAATCCTACTGATAACCTGTATAATTAATGAGACTAAACAAAAGGTTAACAGAAGGCAGTTGCATCAGAGTACATGCAGATGGCAGGTATACTCACTAAATACGATTATGCTTCAAAGAGGAAGTATCATAGTGTTTGACTGAGCAAGCAAAATGTATCATTAAAAATGCTTTGAAAAGTTTTGAAGCTTTTGCTTTAACAGCTTCATAAACTCAGCTGCATTTTTCCTCTCAGCTATTGTGAGGACAGGTCACACAACAACCAAGCATTCTTGAACAAGCAGGCATCTGGTTTGCTTTAGAGAAACCTTGCAGGAGCCCACAGTTCCCACAAACTACACCACAGGGAACCAGCATTTGTTAGTTGAATGGTGCTGTGGATGTTCTACTGTATTTTCCAGCAGAACATTTTTCACTGAAGTCTTGTTTTTAATCATTGAGTTCAGTGGGAGTAAATTCCCAGCTGCACATTCATATGGTAAAGAGAGGTTCTCACAAAAGAAGAGCTGAAGAAAATACAGATGAGTGCTTCAAATTCTTTATTCACAAAGAAAGATCAAATTTGATTTCATAAGGAAGTTGCAAGTAATAAAACTTTTCCCATATTGCCTTGTCTAATTCTATTTTACCTGTAACTTCAGACATCAAAAAACAGACTATGGGAAAAAATGATGGCCTGAGGCAGAAAATTTTGCCGCGTGTGGGAGCTCTGGATATGCTTACATGTCTGATAGCAGAATAACCAGTTAGGTTTGCAAGACCAAGGCTGCAGTTCCCTGAGATTATTTCGGGACAGATTCAAAACAATTATGTACAGTGACCTAAGTTCCAAGATCCTAGACCTTTGAGAGCAGGAATTCACCTGCCCATAGCCAGTTTCTCAGTACAGGAAGGACAGGAAAGGAAATAAACAACTTAGAAGTGTTACAAAAAATATCTACATTCCAGGAAGAAGAGTAACCAGGTTAAAAAAAAAAAAAAAGTAGTTTCTATGAGAGTGAACTCTGATAAATTTCCAAAACTTAGGAAAGGATGAGCAGAAACACTCAAATTCCAGACTCTCTGGCTAAGAAAAGACATCTAGTTCTATTTAAAATTATAGAAGAAAAAAGGAGGATGGTGCATTTGGCATTTTCCCAGACTTCACATCAAATCTCCCGAGGTAAGAAGTGACATAACCCTGAGAGCCTGATTCCATCCAAGCATCTCTAATTTCTAGGCCACAGTGTCATACTCTGCTCTGGCTGTCTGCCTTGCATTTTTTTGTGCACAGTGAGACAATGTAAACAGGGGGATAAAAGCAGTAACCCTAGTGGTTAATGCCTTGTCTGGGGAAGTGGAAGACATTTGGGTTCAAAACAGAAAACACAGTCCTCTCATGTCCTGAGTGAATGATCTGACCACCAGGCTATGTTATAAGAAACCAAAGTGTTTGCAGGAGCAAAGCAGCAGTAGCTGTGCTTCCAGATGTTTCTTTTTGAAGTGGTGATCACTGCTGTTTTTTCCAAGTTGTGTAGGACATTGTACGTTATGAATTTACAAGGCCCATTTGTCTCACAGTTTCTGTAAACTGTGTCTGATCTTGCAAGACTTGCTTCAGAATGTGTCACTAAGAAAATTGGAATCAATCACTCATCTTTTTTCACTCAGGTTACCACTGGGTTGCAAAGACTGACAATTAGACAGGTTATGGGTTTTGTTTCTCCTTTAAGTAGTAATTTCTTTTAGTACTAGATACTTTCCTTCAGTATTGATACTGTTTCTCCATCATAGAAAAGTCTGAGAGAAAAAATCCTGTATAGCTTTTATTCCCAAATGATATCTTCATTTTTATCTGGCTCATGTAACGTTTTCTCCAAGGTCAGTCTGAGCAGCTGGATTTGCCCCTGGTAAAAGTACTTCATTAGATCATGAAGTGTCTGAAAAATATTTCAGTAGAAATGTCTTCTGTTTTTAAAGGATTTATTTTACCAAATGATTTCTCAGCAGCTAGAATAGCTGCTTTTTTATCTTAGAAAGGGAACAAATGAAAATGCACATATGAAATAATCCCTTCTACAATTCTATGCCTTACACCAGGGCAGCCTATAGGCATGTGGGATAATTTTAGTTTTATTCTGCTTGAATAAGATACAAAGAAATGTCAACCAGATATGTACTTATTTCTGTGGCCTGTCTCTCTACAAAGAAATGTTTTTCTTTCATATCAAGAGCTTGTTGTCTTTCTTTTTTAAGTCTCTCTTTTACCTCACAGCATTCCTTTACTCATAAATTACAATTACAACTTTATGTGACATTTAATATCCCTGAATTTTCAAAGAATATTGAAAAGACTAAGTTACAAAGAAAAAATACTATGAAAAGCAGCATAGGTAAGGTATAAAACAGTTTCTTACCTCATAATTTTAATTTGATGTTGATTTTTAAATTAAACAGTGGCCCTTTTTTTCCCCCTTCTGATTTATGGAGGCTTTTTAGTCTTTCTATGCAATCATGCTCCTGTCTTCTGGATTGTTAAAGAAAATTCCCTCTGTACTACCTGATTATTTGCACAATTTCTTTCCCCCCAGTATCTAATTTGGAGATTGTACAAGTGGAAAGATGGGTATGCAGGCTGCAGCAGTATAAGTTAATGCATTACAGGAAAGTGCAATGTGCACATTTTTCCTTTTCCCACAACAGCACAAAGACAACATAGGAAAGATAAAATAACTGGAGCATATTTCTCATCTTCCAGGGAATTCTCAGGTCTCTACGTGAACGACAGAAATTATGGACACACTAGGCCAATGCCTGTCTGTGCCAGAAGGTGTAGAATCATACTGCTTCTCTCCTTTCCATTCCAGCAGCACAAAAATTATCAGCTGCTGAGGCTGTGGTTTTTATTCTGCAGATGGGTGACTCAAACCATTGTGTCTATCTGAAGAGAGACATGACACACAGCTACAAAGATCAGCATACTTGTAGTCGTCAGCTCCTGACCAATGCAGGATAAAAGGGCAGTAGGAACTGCACAACTGCTGCTGACATACAGAAACTAGAATAAAAGTGATAGCTGAACACCTATAGGCTTCAGCAAGAAGAGTAGGTTTGAGAGATGTGCTAGAGTGCTGAGCTGAAATGTTATTTTTTTCCAAAATTCAGGCTATGAAGAATAACCCTATAACTCCCCAGAGAGAGATTCCTCCAGAATGACTTAGAGGGCAGTGCAAGGGGCAGACACTTTTCAAAGCAGCTCAGAAGCACATTGAATAAAATCCTGCCTTCTTGGAGCTCCAACAAGAATTTAGCCTTGAAATGAATCACAGCTCATTTCTGAAGCTAATATATTTAGTGCATAATGTAGAAGAATTTGTTCTAACCTCAAGCCAAAGGCAGATTCCCTAGCTCTGTCATATCTTCCCCCTGCTATGTTGCTGGGAATTTAGGACACAATTCAAATGTCTGTCATGCTCTTAAGAGCAGTAATGTGCAGGCAGCCTGTCCTGGAGGCAAACTGATGGGATGCCCAACAGAAGAGTAGTGGAATAACCCCAGTCAACATGACTGTAGTTCTTGCTTCAATTGGAGACCTAAAGAACTGACGGGTTTGGACCTGTACCTTATTAAAAATTAAAGAAATGAGAATGGAATTTAGATAAATCACTGGGATTTAAAAAAAAATGTAGTTGAACTAAACTATTTTGCAAAAAAAACAGATACTCTGCTCAGTTCTTTCACATGCTGAACATGTGTCTGTTTATTGAACATGGGGAAAAGAGCTGGGTTTTAATACACCTGTAGGTAT